TAATCCGGCGGAAACAGGTGAAACACGGTCCGGAATCAGGCTTCGAGGCGTAAGACCGTAGGGAGAGAGCTCGCCGGATTTTTCCCGGAGCATTTTTGTCGGTCTATTTTGCAGCCAGAGGGGTGGCTGCCTCTCTCTCTCCCCCTCTAGACGGCGGCTGTCGATGTTGGAGGGGCCGTGAGGGGCATAGGGGAGAGAGTGCACGAAGGGGGATGGATTTGGGGGTTGGACCCGTGTCGAGGTGGGGCAAAGGTGACCCCCGCGGATCAATACCGCCGCCGGTCGGCCGCCTCCGGCGTGCTCCAACGACCGATGCTCTCGTATTTCCTCTCGAAATCGAATGCCATTCGGTGCACACGAGCTCCGTGAAAATCGTTCTTAAATGGCGCGGGAGGGACTGGCGAGTGCTGCGGGAGTTTCTCGCAGAATCGAGTTCGTTTCCTGGATGATTGCTTGTTCTGGAGATTTTATGGTTGCTGAACCCTCTAGATAGAAAACACGGTGTATGTTTTATGCGACAGGGTATCGTAGGGTTGAAATCTTTCGTCGAATAAACTTGGGATCTTTTTTGCCGACTGTACATTTAAACTGTTTCAGTATTAGATAGAAAATCTAGCGGGTTATAGATCAATTACTTTCGATATTCTAAAATTCATTTTTGTTACTAATGTAATTGTTTCTGTCGTATTTGAACTCGTTACAAGTCAAAGGATGAAATGATAATTCAGTTGCCTCGTTCGACTCTTAAATACCTCATCCATCAAATCGTTCTAATTAAAAACTGCATCTGTTTCAATACCCCCCTCCCCACCAGTAGAAATCAATCATTCCCCCCATACGAAACAGTCGTTCGCTATAATTTATTATCCATCATTCCCGATAGCGCATAGAACGAGAAAAGAAAGAAGAGAGAGAGAGAGAGAGAGAAAGGAGGAAGAAAAAGGTTCTCGAGATCCGTGGCCTATAAAACAAACCCTGCTCAACCCAGATCACTTCTAAAAATCCTCCATTATTCCACGTTCGAGAAGAAACCAGCAGCGAAACCTCTAAGAAAAGAGAGCCATTAACTTCCACAATTCGCCCGAGCCGTTCTCCCGTTCGCGAGCCCACTTCCGCGGACACGCGATTTGCGGAGCCCGGTTTTCCGCGAAAGTAGCTCGACTCGGGCGAGCGTGACGGCGCGAGCTCTTTAAACCGGCCCGATGGACGACGGTGACGCAACGCGGAGCGAGTGAGCAAGCCATTCGATTACACGACTACTTTCTCCCGTTCCGGCCAGCCATAATATTGTTCTAGATTAACCAGACGAAGAGAGATATACGCGTATATATACATATTGAGAGAGAGATGAAAGGTAGTTGAAACGTGGTCCAAGCGTAACGACGCTGGTATCAGACGTCGATCGGGGATACACATGCATACAGGGGAGAACGTCGAAGGGCGTCTCGCTCGTTTCACGGCTCCTACGACGCGGCAAATTAAATTCGAGCTTTCTCGACCGCGTCTCCTGTTCCCCGACTAGAGCCTCTAACGACTCCGCTCGCTCGCTGCTGCTTCGACTCGCCGATGATTAATTGCTCGCGTTTCGTAATGACTCACGAGAGAGGAAAAAGGCTGCACGCGAGTCGGTTCTCTAAAAGAGAGCTTGACGTGACTTTAGAGATATTCAGAGTGGTTGGAACACGTTTGCTCCACTTAAAATCGTATATATTTCATAGCCGGCTACTTTGCTCGATGGTTTGTACACCGCGTAGTTTGGTTTTGTTCGTGCAAGGGTGAGAATTGTGGCACGTGGACGCGCGGAGGAGGTAATGCCGGTTTCACGCTGGTCAGAAATGTTCGCGAATAGATTCTTTGGTGATTCGCTAAGCACCTACCTTCCGGTTAGACTCTTTGCTGAAGAGTTCAGCGGAAGGTGAAGGAAAGTGTCTGTACTGTCGGCGAACATTGTTCGCGAACAGAACGCGAACTCCAGTGTGAAACCGGCTTAAAGCGTCGAAATGCATCGAGGTTAAAGTTGACGAAATTGTAAATTTTTCTTTGACGAAGCGTTTCCTGTGTGAATATTGTTCGTTGACGAGTTCACTGTATTCTGAACGAAAGTGTCCACATTGTTCGCGAACAGAACGCGAACTCTCGTGTGAAACCGGCTTAAAGCGTCGAAATGCATCGAGGTTAAAGTTGACGAAATTGTAAATTTTTCTTTGACGAAGCGTTTCCTGTGTGAATATTGTTCGCTGACGAGTTCACTGTATTCTGAACGAAAATGTCCACATTGTCGGCGAACATGGTTCGCGAACAGTAGCGTGAAACCGGCTTAAAGCGTCGAAATGCATCGAGGTTAAAGTTGACGAAATTGTAAATTTTTCTTTGACGAAGCGTTTCCTGTGTGAATATTATTTGCTGACGAGTTCACTGTATTCTGAACGAAAGTGTCCACATTGTCGGCGAACATGGTTCGCGAACAGTAGCGTGAAACCGGCATAAAGCATCGAAATACGCGTATTAAGGTTAAAGTTGGCGAAATTGTAAATTTTTCTCTATTCTCTGTTTGAAAAGTGAAAATTATAACATACGAGGATCCGTTTAAACTCGTTTAATCTAATCGCAAAAGTTCATTGGAATTTTTTATTCGAGAGAAAATGCTCAGACTACTGTCTCCCGTCCAACGACGCAGATTTTTCCCTCTCCGTCTGACAATGACGCGATTCCTCGAGGGTCCTCGAGCATTCTCAGCAGACTTTCGTAAATGTTTGCCCCGGCAGCAGGCTGAAAACCTAATTTGTCGACGCGGAAGCTCGCTCTGCAACTTCTAACGAATCGTTTCAGCGTCGAGAGAGAGAGAGAGAGACAAAGGGAACGAATATCGTTTAGAGAAAATTCCTACGGAAAGAAGAGAGACTAACCTTTTTCTGTAGAATAATTTCAAAGAAATCGTCGAGCTTCCTGCAATTGTAAAAAATCGACGAAAGATAGGAAAACGTCTAAATTTCAATGTCCAATGAAATTTCCTCGCGGTTATTCCCCGGGATTTTTTCCCGGGGGCGCTAATCTCCATGCAGCCGGATCCAGGATGTCAGTGTCCGGTGTCCGCGGCCGGAAACGAGCTCCGACTCACGGATACAGCCGAGTCACGTGCTGGCCCGCACATGTTACGTCACGGGAGGTCGAGACGGCGACGTTGAAGGTGGAAAAATTGGAGCGACCTCGCGCTGTCACCTCTCGACAACCGTGTTTTGTCTCTATTTTCTGGATCACCGTTCCCTCTCGTCGCTTGTTTCTCTCGCGGCTTGTCATAATTCCTATGAAACATGCAACTGGTAAAGAATCGCGAGGAGAAACGTGACGTGTGCTATCATTTGGAAACTGATGTTCGTTCTTGTAGACCGATCGAACACGAGGATACGACTCTATGTCGACGTTTAGAAGTCGTCTCGAAGTGAGCTCTTCTGCATTTTCTCTCCTCTCGTCGGAGCTTTAATTTAACGTTTAATTGATCGATGGTTAACCTTTAATTGAAGCGAACACGTTAATTCACGATGAACTACGAACCATCCTCCCTCTAAGTGGATTTCTAGGGAATGAATGAAATTACTCCCGGGGATTAATCAAGGTCCGTGGTCTCTTCTCTCTCTTTCTCTCGTTCCGCACGCTGATTTCGTGAAATCGCTGCACTTTCCGGCTAGCCCGCGATAAAGCGGTTAATTCCTCGGCGTTATCAACAGTTCTTCAATCGTTATCGACGTTATCCGCAGACCTCGAAATTTATTACCCGGGAGCAACCTCCTGTCTCCCTCTCGCCGGAACCTTCTTTTTTATCGCGGTCGACGATTAATTCGAACGAAATCGAGTTATCAATATACACACGATGGACGAGTTTCTTTTATTACTTCCACGAAAACCACGTACAAGTGAAGATTTCCCTCTGCTTTCGACGGACACTTTGAACGCGAGAAGAATCACGCGTACGATTTAATCTGACGAGAGAAATAGCGAAGAGAAATTGTCGACGTCTGTTTTTTTTTTTTTTTTTTTTTTTCCCTTTTTTTTTTATTATCCTTTTTTTCTTTTCCGTTTTGCAGGCAGCAAGCTGCGTGTAATCGATCGACGGACGCGTCGGTGTTGTCGCGATTGTCCCCATTGAACACGCGCCGCGGAAAGCGTACGAGACAGGGTACAAGCTGTACACCACTAGGGGGAAGGTTTTCTCCGCTCTGGAACGATGTCTCGTTTCCGCGGCACCCGCGATTTATGCGCGACATCAAACGCGGCGACGAGGCTACAGGAACCGAACGACACGATACGCCACGAATTTATTACGATATTATTCGAGCCCTGTGATCGGCCACGGCAATAAATAGTTGGAACTCGAGCTCGCGCCGTGTCCTGGACCACCGCCTGTCATTTCGCCTACGATCTTGATTTTCTATTTGCAGGTTGGGGTTTCACCCGCTTCTCCGCGTCTTCTCAATTCTCTCCACGCGTTACCAATTAAAGTAACGAACGAGTGGTATTTAACCCCTTAACCCCACAGCGTTGTCAATCCTATTACGTTAAACGCATAAGTTGCAGCTTAGGAAATAATTGAAAAAGAAAGTCGAGAAAGGCTGAAATATCATTGCAAACGATACGTGGAGAATGATAAATCCACCCTATAGGCTAGAGGTGCCTGAAAACGAACAAATTACCATACTTCATTACTCTCTAATTAACTCTCCCAGAAATTATATAGATTTACACATCACAGTACCCCAAAGAAAATTCATATCCACAAATTCGCAAAGAAAACGTTCACGAGCTCGGAGAGAAAAAACTAAAGAGAGAGAGAGAGAGAGAAAAGGATGGTGGCAGTACTTTCCCCCCCGTGTACGATCCCAAGAGAGATCGATCCACCACCATCCCCCTTTTATATCCCGTGGCATATATGTGTACCCCTGTTGTCATGGAAGAAGGAGGACAATTAAACTAACCAGGTGTTTTCCACTGTGTTCGCGTTACAGGTACAAAGCGAATCGTTGCGTGAGCGGGGGCCGTGGCCGCGGAATCGGCGCGACTGGCGGTACCGGAGGCGGTCTAGGTAACGGAGGCAGCGGCCGCGGGGG